GTATATATATAATTATTTAAACGTAACAGAAGATATATATGCGTGTGTGTGTTTGTAACAACAAACAGTAAATACATCTTGAAAACTGTTGTGTTGTGGTGTTATAAATAAATACATATACATACAATACAGTACCGGTATATATGTATATACAATGACAGTAAATACATCTTGAAAACTGTTGTGTTGTGGTGTTATAAATAAATACATATACATACAATACAGTATATATGTATATACAATGACAATTGTAAGCCTATGTATAAATTATAAAATTTGACAAGAGGAAACACCAGTGGTTGATGAAACTATTAAGATAGTTCCTATTTGAATCATTACCTTAAATCTCCAAGCTTACTACCAGGGTTCGACAGGCCACAGATACATGACATATCATAGTTTATTGATACAGTAGTACATGACATATATCATAGTTTATTGATACAGTAGTATAGTAAGGGCAGCAATGTGCTCCATTTCTCAGCTATTGTACATTCCCCTCAATTCGCTAAACACTTATGAATCTGTCTCTTATACACATCTAGAGGTGTATAAGAGACAGTATATATAAACAATAATTTGTAAAAAGTATCATTTTTCGCGCTGCTAAATTATAAGTAAACATTGTTTTTGATAATTTCTGTGTTGCATATTCAAAATGAATACATGGGACCTTTTCAGTGTGCATACAAACAAGGAATGAGTTGCACAAACAGAGAATATTGATTTCAGTAGTACTTGAGAAAAAAATTGACTTACATAAAATGGGCATAGCTATGTCCAGTGCATTTGATACGATTCGTAGGACAACAATTGTAAGACTTCTCAAGGATGCAGGATGTAGTAGAGATGATGTTCGACTCATCAGGTTCTTACTTGCAAACAACGCTACGAGTTAAAGTAGTAGTATATTATCTGCAGAATTCGTGTGCACAAGAGGATCTTTTCAAGGTGATGGGATTTCCGGAAATCTTTTTATCTTAGTCCTCGCAGGAGCTTTGAATGATTTGCGCGCCATCAATAAATAGGCCAAACCCACCAATTACAGAAAATCTTATGCCAGCAGAGGGGCAATATGCAGATGATTCTGATTTTATTGATGAATCGAAACAACCTTTAACAGACTTTTTACCTAAATATACCAATGTTTTTAAGCAATGGGATCTCTACTTTAATCCAGATAAGACAGAATTCGTCCGCCTACAGTATATGTGGCGGACAAGGATGAAATTAATGATGATGGTTTGCACTTAAAATACAATGAACCATGGAGGTTTTTGAAATCGCTTGGATCAGTGTTTTGCTTCACACAAGATATTATATATAGATGTCGTCTCGGCAATGCAGCTTTTCAGAAATATAGAAAGATGTGGCTTTGTGGTACAAAGATCTCAATTACAAAGAAAATTAAAGTTTATGAAGCCCAAGTCGTATCTGTCGTTATGTATAATTGCAGTTGTTGGGCAGCGCCGAGCTCAGTTTTGGAGAAAGCTGATGTGAGGCAGCGCAGTCATCTCAAGACAATTTTGAATCTCCATTGGTTGTATGCAAATATCTCTAATGCTGATCTTTATGAACGTTGCGGTGTTAATCCTCTCATGGAAAGAGTCAAAAAAGAGAGATGGAGGATGTTAGGTCACGTTTTGCGTAGTCCTAAAAATTCTCCTGCATCCATAGCCCTTACATTTGCAGTTTTATCATCGAAAATGTTACCTGGTCGCTTAGCCGACATCAGACCAATACTTTCAGGATGATTAAAGAAGACCTACTTGCTAGAGGACATTTATTAAGAAATATAGATGACATGCATCGATTGAGGACGATTGCAAAAAATCGACAAACATGGAGAAACATTTTATAGCAATTATTCATTTGTACTGTATAATGATATTGAATGATATTTAACTAACAATCTTGATATATCTCGCTTAATGTACGTGCCTGTATTACAGTAGACCCTTAATCATAGATTTTGAGTTTACCTTACAGTAAGAAATAATTATAAAAATGATTTTCATAACATGGTATATTTTATGGGACAATTATCTTTAAGGCAAAACACTTAAACTTAACTTGTCAATAAATTAACTTTTACAGGCTTTACTGTCATGAGTTTGCGAGGACGGCATCTTGTGCCATATATGCCCGGCAGTTATGATGAAGGTAGTCACTATCAAGGAAATGATGGCAGACTTCTTCAGAGAGAACGTACATCTCAGGTGTTGGTTGATAAAGCAAGACGATTGAATGACGATTTCCTGGTGACTCTTTCAAACCCCGGCAATATTCTCCAAGCGGCAGAAGCAAAGGCATTACTTAAGGAGCATATACAGACAATTACCACAACTGTCGCAACACTCAGCAAAGATATTGAAGTAAATGAAAAAGATTCTTTTAAATTTCACCCGGCAGGCATGGATTCAGGAGCTCATCCTGACTATCACACAGATAGGTCCATGGGGCGGGGTCCAAAGGGGCGAATCCCATTAACATTCTGAGGGTATTAAAACAGATAAACTGTATTATGGTATTTATGGCATTTCTATTAAGAAGAAATATATGAACTGAATAGGTGCTAGTTGATATTTACATGATTATTCAGCTTTTTGCAGTTACAATTTAAATTTTTATCTGTCACCCTGATCTTCACCATGGTGTGAATGTCTGGATCCACATCTGCTCTAGCCATACATTATTTATTATTTGTGTGTTATGTTTTTTATTTCAATACTTTTCATAATTACCAAGAATAAATTTTGAAAAAATGAAAACAGGGCAAACCAAAGTGAACTTACTCTAGCATTGCTAATGGCTGTGATTGTATTAAGGCTAGTAAAGATTGTATGTTCAATTACGACTCAAATCAATTGCAATACTGTATATTTAGAAAAGTGATACAATGTGCACATTAACACGTTGACTGCCAGACCTTTTTTAAGGTTCATTCCCGTGTGCCAAAACAAGTTTACATGTACAAACATACTCTTTTGAAATTTTATCTAGTCATATATCATCAAAATGATGTGTCTAATAAATTGGCGGGAAAATATTATAGGGCGAGTATACTCGCTGAAGGCACTTCGATAGAACGTTTTATTGACTATGCCAAGTGCGAGTTAGCTTGTTTGCTTATTGTAGTGGTTGGTATGTTCATAGGGCATCCCGACTTTTGCCGCTTGAGTGTACTACCGGCAAAATAACACAACAAACATACATACGTCATTTGCACGTTATCGGCTAGAAGTTATAAACGCAAGAATGTTACGCTGATTTTGACGAGTATACTCATCCCTGGCGCCCTCAGCAGCACTCTGTGGGCAAGTATGCTTGTTGCTGGCAGCCAACATGTTAAACATGTCTAGTTAATCAAAATCATTTGTATTTTATTTTTTGTTAAATTTCTACCAACAGGTTCTTGAATCCCAGATGATGATCAGAGAGCAAAGTCACAAACAATCAAACCACTCTGTTAAAAATCTTGAACTCCATCATGTTGGTAGTATTACAGACTTGCGGTCTCGAGTCGGTAGGTGCGATGCTTCAATTGCAAAGTTGTCAACTCAAATGAGAGGTATCTTTGAATCAGTTTCAAACTTAAGCAAACAACTGCAAGATCTCAGTAAAAACCTTAGTGAAACAATTATGGATACCTCAACTAAGGTATGTTTTTCCCTATTCCTGTGTATTAAGTTTAATATAAGTTAATCATTATGAGTGTTCTCCCAAAACTGAATTTGCCAGCATAAAGCTGCATTCACACCAAAAGCATACTGAAACTGATCAGAAAATCGAATCAGTGTGTAAGAATAGGGACGCTGGCATTCAGTGAATCAAAAACGTGGTCTAATGTTTGGTAACAGATCCGATGTGAATGCAGCTTTACTTGCTGGAGTAAAACACTCCTGAATGAAATTTAAATCTCCAAAACAAACATTTTACAATTTTAAAGCAAATGTACACAAATTTCAATTTTGATTTTTGCTAAAATTTATATAAACATTCTACTCCCAGAAAATAGCTCCCAGATGATGTCATCATTTGACCTCATACAGTTTATCCCAACCCATCTACTAATAGTGCATGATCTTATAGACATTTGCACTGGTCCAAAGTCTCCTGGAACCTGTCTCTTATACACATCTAGATGTGTATAAGAGACAGATTCAAACCTCACTTCTGTATCTTTATGTGTTTGTACCATATACAGCTCCCGTGTAAATATAGGGCTTTGAACATTTTCTATAACATCCTTCACCATTTTCCGTACAGATGTTATATCTGTTGGTTTACACTCTTTGGTCTTGTTAGTATCTTCTGGAACTATTAATTGTGGTTCAGCAACTCCTGGAAGATGTAATGGTCCTGCTTAAAAAAGAGGAAAATAAAATTGCTATTATAAACAAATAGAAAATATTATTCAAATTCATTCAAAATATTTACTCATAAATGTAAACACACTTATAATACTACTATTCTGTGTGTTGCTTGCATCATTCCATGTGAGAACCAAACATTTAAGGCAGAAGCCTTATGAACTATTAAAATAAATACAAAAATCTCCCCCGCATACTAATATGAAGATGTCATTTTCGGATATTGCTTTATGTATAAAAACATGAAATTTGACAGATGTATTCATATTCATAACTAACATCTTCTTTTCAATCAGTCTCCAGCACTTTGTTAGTGCGATGAGTGTTTAATAATCCAATGCCTAAGTGGTACATGGTCAAACGTAAACTCCCATGATAACTCTTTACATTTCTGTTTAAACTAAAAAAATATGCAATATGATACCGACTGCATTTTTAAAAGGCACAAAAATTCTTTAAGCCCTCTGCCCTCAAGTGGGAAAATCTGAAATAATGACAAAACCGTTAGCACCTGTGTGAGAACGCCCGATCGGTTAGCGCTAACCGCTAGCGGTATCCGGATACGTTAACGGTTAGCAAGAGCTATCGGTTAGCAAGTTGAGGGCGTTTCTATCATCAACCAATCACACGTATGGGTTTACAATTTCCAGTTTCTTATTGGCCAGTGATTCGATCATCATATTGTTGGTATCCAGATCGGGATTTTCTCGCATTGACGCACGGCAGCTAACGGTTAGCAGAATCCGGATCCTGCTAACCGTTAGCTGCCATGTGAGAACATAGCCTATAATGTTCATTTATCTGGTTTATTTAATTCTAGAATAAATTTGATTTATAAATGTACAAACATAATTCTATGGGCTTTGGAATTTTAGTAATATTTATGAGCATATGTAGTCCTTATTATGAATAATAACTCACAGTTTAAAACAATCTATGTTCTCAATTTTTTCCCATGAATTCATATGAATTTTTGTACATATATGAAATATCTGTTTAATTTTTAACATTAAATATAAAATTGTGTTGTGATTTTCTTTTACAAAATTGTTTGTGATTATATTTGATTTCTTGTATTTTTGTTAAACTGAGAAATGAATGATTTCACTAGGAATGTGCATCTGTAGTATTCTGTCTAATAATTACCGTAAATCCTTAAATAAGCACCGGGGTCAGAGGCGGATCCAGAGATGTCCAAAAGGGGGGGGGGGCCGAAATTTGGGCCGATCGAGACAACACTGTCCTAGAAGGTCCCAGGGATGTCCCCGCGAAATTTTTGTGTTCTAGACGCCCGAAAATAACATTTGAGGCGTTCTGGGCTATCAATTTTTTCTTTTTCTTTCTTTTTTTTTTTCTTTCTATTACCTTCCATTATAAAGATATGCTTGTGTCTTCATTGTGTTATTTATTCATTTAAAAACTATACCCCGGTTCTTAGTAGACGGCCTATTAAATCTGGCCTGTGTGCAAAAATGAAATTTAAAAAAAATAATAATAAAAAAGTAAATCATTTGATAAATAATTTTCCTATTTTGAGTGAATACATAAACACAGCCCCTGGGCTATGTCCACTAACATGAACATTTGGATGTTAGGTTTGTACGCAAGCTTGCACTGAATCTTTGAGTTGTACTGTATATAAATTATGGGTATTTTTTTCAAGTCCACCTGATTTTCCCATAATGATAAGTGCAGTTAAATGGGGGGATGAAATGTGTTCCGCAATCATAGCAGGCCCGTATCCAGGGGAGGGGTACACCACACCCCCAATCGAAAAAGATACACATTTTTAAGACTGTCGTAATAAAACTTAAAAGAAAAGTCTTAATTTTAACCAGTAATCTATTGGAACCCCTAAATACCAATTTGCCATTCAACTGGCTCTTCCCTTGATCCCATCAGGGACCCTCCATACACCAGTTGGGCTATTTTTGCAGACCCATTCACCCCACCATTTACAATTGTGCCTACGGCCCTGCATAGATTGAACACAACTTCCATTTGCCAATCTATATGCTGTTAAGAGGAGAGCAACACAACCAATTAACAATTCACCCAAGCAAGAAAAACAAATACAATATAATACACAAACTATGATTTAATATTGAATATTGCATTTGCATGACATACAATGGAACAAACAAAACTTGAAAAATACGATAAATTGACAACTAAATCTGTGATCTACACAACAAAAAATATAACAGCAATTAATTTTCATTCAAAAAGTTACAAAAGTAAGTGTTCCATTCTCTGTTAATATATAATATAAACACCAAGAAACTTGTTTACTTCTAATTTGCTACAGATTAAATATTTTGATTATAGGAATAATTTGTTAGATCAACCAGCTAATATATTAACAATAGTAACTTGCAAACAGTTTTCATCAAACCACAGACCTTTCCGCTCATGCACTACAACTTTTCAGATGACAATATAAAAGTTATTAAATAAATGGAATACACAAATTGATATCAGATGACTCTACACTGGAATGCTTCTACAGTAATATACAGTATTATCAGCATATAACTTAGGCCTACTTTAACTGGATGCTTTGAATTTTTAATGTTAGCCAGATATTACAAATTTAAATTCTTGTAGTTTCGTTCTATTTAGGCAAGACTCTTTTTATACCTTGTTTAGCGAATCCGCTGCCTATCAATGATTTTTGAATAAAAATAAAATTTTATTTTTGGCCAATTGGCGGACCCTCCGCCATGAAAAGAATGGGAATTTAAGGGGGAAAAAAAGATTTTTTTTCCCCTTTATTTTAATTACGCCTCTCGCCGCCTTGAAATCTCCAAAAATAAGGTATGTATATTTCTTCCAAATGATATAAATTAGAGCATTCTAATCATCCCATTACTAAACTGTTTACAATCAACAACAACATTTTATTTTTATTTTCTTCTTCGTCTAGATGTTTTTGGCAAAACTATTTTGCTAAATAAGAAAACAAACTTTTATTTTTTTTTGCCCACCTATGACGATTTAAAAAAAAATAAGTTCACGAAACAAAGTATAAAAAAGTCTTGTTTAAGGTAAATTTACACTAGACGCAATAACGACACAACGACATGATCATCGCGTTGTATATTCTTTAACACTGATTCATTTCTGTTCTGTCTGTTATGTCGTTGTCATGTCGTCGTGTTGTTATTGTGTCTAGTGTAAATGTAGCTTTATGCGAGTTATTATAAAATGCCGTTCCTGACTCCGTCCCTCTATAAAATGAGCTACCACAACACAAGGTAGACAGAGTACCACTAAGGTTAATTGAACCTACAACCAATAAACAAAACAGAAACATTTTTTTTCAAATAGTTTGATGGTGGAGAAACCCAAGCCTTTGTTTAGTGGTTTCTTCAAAAGTACAGTATTTGTATAGGACGCACCACGAATACATAAATTCGGAAATCAGGACGGGTCAGTTGGTCAGCCTGAATTTTTTTTTATACTGACCAATACATGACTTTTTCAAACTACCTTCTCAAATTCCTGTGTACATTTTCTATTTGTAAAACACAGCAGCATTTTAGTCTTGTTATTTTGTTGTTCTCTGGCATTTAAATCATAGTAAATTTAGGGAATTATCTATTTTAGGCTACAATGTTTATAGCAGATGCCCTTTTTGGATCAGTCTTTCCTTTCTTACACATTTGAAGTTAAACATTAAAGACAAGATGTCTATAAACTCATAAACATAAACTCAAAACTCCGCTAATATCTAGAAATGTCAGTGATACGTGTGTGTATATGAATGTACATATGTATTGCTATAGGCATATGGGAAAACCCAGATATAATAAGCAATGAACTACAATAACCAAAACATCAAATAAATTTAAAATAAGAGGATTAATTCCAAGAACTCACTGCACCTTACAACGGTCATAAGGCCGATGCATCCAACTCCGTTACCTTTGGGCACTAGATGCCGTCTGCTAATTTTTGGTAGTTGTCCGAACGAATCAACATAAAAAAACGATCCGTTGCGCACGTGTTGTGGCCTTTCATTCTCCATAAAATTGCGTCGGCCGAGTACCCTCAGGTGCAGTGACTGCCCGGCTTAAGAATGTAAAGTGTAATCAACCTCCACCATTATACACCACTTTTTGTTCTATTTGCATCTTAGTTACTTACTTAGCATTAAAAAGGCTACAGACTGCTAAGTTTTGTCAGAAAAAAAAGATCAATTATGCGGCACAAATCTTTAACTTAGTGACACAATGTTTTAAAAAAAGTGCAGCTAGAAACACAGATGGCATTTTATAATCAAAATAAAGAATCTCTCAACTCCCAACGATGGTGGTTCATAATAACTGCGATGGAGGTTCTTGATGAATATTTTTCAAGATTAAGCTCTGTATCCATGTGTGACAGTACCTTCGTCATCCAATTGTGTATAAGCCACTTTCTTCTTATTACAGAACAACACACATGAGAAGATGAGACCAATGATCTATTTAAAAACCATAATGTTTTCAAATTAAAATATTTAATTGTGAGTTAATAAAAACTTACAGTACTTAAATATAAAAGTGTTATTGTTAATTTTATTTAATCATTATTAATTAGAATCTTTTATTCTTAATGAAATTTTTAAGTTAGTTATCCAGGTTTCACAACAGACTGCATATCACAATTTATTATGATTTTATATCTCTTATAAAAATGAAACCCACCTGAAAGGCCAAGAGTCCAAGAGATACTCCAATTATCTTCTTTAGGTTTGCTTTTAATTGCTCATCCACTTTGCTGTAGCAGCCCTGAAATTTCAACAAGAAGATAATTTGAACATTTTTTGAAAAACCATTAGATTTGATAGTAAAATATGTACAAGTATAACTACTGTACTAGTGATGCAGTGAAATATCTACAGTGCATGGAGTCATTATAATTCTGCAGTCGGGTGTTAAGTAGTAATGAACTGAAATTATTTTTGTAAAATCATTCATCATTGAGAAAAATCAGTACACCATGATTATTAATACATTTCATACAATGATGTTTCAAGATAAATAATGTATTTCTTCTACAGTACTTGCAAATAGGCTCTGTTAAACTCACCTCTGTGTTTGTTTTGTTCTTTGAAATATCAGAGGATGACCCTGTGCAGTTGTTTGCATTTGTCTTACAGCAGCTTTTAGGCACCTGGCCTGGGTTATCAGAGCCCCATTGGGTTGTACCCCATTCAGTGCTATTATTAACTCCACAGCATTGCAGCTAAAACAAGAATATGTCGATAACAAATGCATGTACATGGATTTGGCTCAAGACCACATGTGTCAGTGAATGTACCTAATCAAAATCTTTGTACTCTCTACAGTAGTACAGTAAACCACTACACATTTAGCTCATACAAATCTCAAAACTTAACAATAACATAATTGAACTCACTATTTCAAAACACACTTAATTTACAACACTTTTAAAATTAAGTTTATATAATTTTCTTTTGACAGGTGATCAATCATTCTTCAACCACTGGGTCACAGTCCCTTCAGCCCCAGCCCCACCATGGTTGAGGCTGAGGTGGAAATAATTTAGGTTGTCCCTCTAGATTACCATTATAGATCAAGTGACAAGAGACAATAGCAGTCTTTTAAAGCTTTAAGCTGCTTGAGTCTTAAATTAATAATAATTTTTTTTAAAATATTGATGGTACAATTTCATTTAAATATTATGATAACTCACAGTTTCTTGAATGGTATCAACACTTCTTGTAATATCCCCATTATCATCTGTCCCATATTTGGAGAATGCCTCCTTCATACCAGAAGATACTGCATCATTTAACTATTAAAGAGAAAAATTTAGATACAGTATACTGTACATATTAAAATAAATAAATAAATATTATCTAATGCATTTTATATGGTTAGCATATTAATCCGAACCTTAAATTCAAAAATTGATTTCAGAAAAAAATAGATAAATTTTCCTCCTGGACTGCTTACTTTATAGTTATAATTGTTAGCTTTCCATTGAAAATTAGAACAAGTTAAAAACTTTCCTTGCATCTATATTATCAGATGCAAACATTTTTTGCATGTGTTTGCAAGAATGTTTGTATTACTGTACCTGTAAAAAGTCTCATCAGTGAAAATTAATATTTCTATGTCTGACTGGAAATGAACAACACGATGATCAATTTAAATCAGCTTTGTTTTAATTGATGTTTTTTTTAAGCTAGATTTTATCACAGACATGGAGTATCTTTAAATTGGCTCATAATTTTGATGGGACTACCTCAGTCTTGTGTGAATCAGGTAGAAGAAGATATAATTTAATGTTAAATAAGTGATTTAACAGTTTCAACAACAATTAACAAAAAAAAAATATTAGATTACCTCTCCTTTGTAAACAATTGCAACAATACCACAGGTCAATTCCATCATTACTATCAAAAGCAAGATTGTGAAGAACTGAAATAAACAGAAAGTAACATTTGATAAATACTGTAGCCATATTAGAGGGATTTGGCGATGAGCATATATTTTATTTATTTCTGTCTTTTGTGTGATTACACTTTCAGTGATGTAGTACTGGTATCACAAGTGGATCACAAGTAAAAAAGAATAAAAGAAAAGCAAAATAAAAAAAAAAGAAAACTAATAAGTTAAAGAAAAACAATATGTACGTAAATATAAAAACTACTGCATCGAAAACAAAATTGCTTAAAACTTACTACAAAATTGAAAAGGAAAAGGCAAAAAAAAAAATCTGTAAAAGTTTTATTCAATATTTTGTCTAGAATAGAGTAATTAATAATGTTTTTAAAGTTATATATCGTTTAAATGATTTTTTAAAGACTGTATGGAAAGTTCATTAAATATTGTTTTAATTTCATTTGGAAGGTTGTTCCGTGCTTTAGTTGCACAGTATAAAGATGTAATTTTGCCTTGTACCCAATTCTATTTTTGTTCAATCAAGTTGTTATTAGACTTGTTCCTAGTACATTGAGAGCGATTATTGTTATTAAAGATAAATCTATTACAAGAATAAGATGGGGTCTTTTCTTTTAGACATTTTAAAGTTAATAATAGATGATGTTCATTCCATCTGTCGACCAATCTTTTCCATCCCAACTCATTCATGACTGTAAGAATTGGTGTGTGAATGTCAACAGATAATAGAATTCTTCCCAGCCTATTTTGAAGAATTTGAAGTTCATTTAAAGCGATTATTGGTTGTGTTGGACCAAATGCAATTACAATAATCAAATAATGGCATTACAATTGTATTTGACAACATATTTGTAGTTTTAAAGGAAGTTATTGTTTGACATGACGAATCACACCAATTCTTTTTGAAATTTTAGAAGACATATTATCAATATGCAAGACCCATGTTAAGTTAGTATCAAAAATGACACCAAGATATTTCATAGACATGACCTCCTAAATACTTGAGTTATTATATTTAAAGACAATATCCGAAAATCTAGAAAGTAACCTAACGTGACCCAACGTGGGTGATATACAGTAAACAATCGACTGGCACAGCGGTGTTTTACATGGAGATTGCTATTGTGTCCCTCCCTTCTTTATTGCTGTAAACATCATCATAATTCCCATTAAACTATACCATATCAATTGGAAATTAAACTTCAGAATTTTGCCTTAATGGTTTGCTAATGCTATAAAGGAAAATGGCCGCAAACATCGTAATTTTTCGACAATTGTTAGGCCCAGGCCCCTGTACATCTACGGCATGGTTAGTTATGCATGATGGTCTTCGACCAGCAAACTACGATGTGATGTTAGGGCTAGCCAAGGTTTATGAAGGATCACTTAAACTTCAAAGTATACAATGCTTTGAGAATGCTAGGATAAGTAAATAACAGTATTTTAAACAATTCTATTGCCTTAATATCCTTTCCTATACTATCGCACTGTAATGTTTTCATGTATACCCAAGTTAAGTAAGTGTGGGAGCTTAAACAATACACAAACAGATCACTTTAGATTATAAAACTTTTATAGTTTGCACCAAGTTTGCAAATTATATACGATACTTTACTTACACAGGCTAGTAGACACTTGTTCTCTTTGCAGGCGGCGCAACAAGCGATTATGCCAAGTATAAACATGAAAACACTGGCAACGATGATGGTAGCCCCAGGCACCCAAATGTAGTAATCTGCATAGACTTTATCATATTCTTTGTAATCTGAGAATATGATGACACCAACATACATCAAACAGCCAGCTGCAAACTATAGAGGTGAAAAAAGCAATATTTGTATCTTTTAATATTTGTTTTCAAAATTAAACAAAATATCAGTTATAATATCGTCAAAGCATTTGTTTTAATTTACTATTACATTTTCAATGTTAATTTTTAATCAATTTTGCATTTGAATTACAAATTTTAGCAAGGGTACAGTACAAGAAATAATGCTGATGGATGTAATAAGGATAGATAAAATATACTGATTGGACACACAGAAGGGAAAGACTATTGAGAGAAGTCATAAAAAGTAGAATAGAATTTATTTTTAAAATAAAAAGGACAAAAAGGAATAGTTGTAATAAAAGGAAACAGATCCTACAAATATGGAAAACAGATGAACTGTGAGAACCACAAACCATTCAAAGTATGAAAGAACACATGATATGTGAAATAATTATATAATTCATAATTTAAATTAATGTATTTTATATATGTACACATAAAAATGTTAGCCAATGCATATCATAAGATGGTATTTTTTGTATGTAAAGTGTTTTGTGTATAATGATAGTGATGTTTTAAAAAATTTTAATTGAAATTTAGCTACCATCAAATGTTTTATTAAGAAAAAACATAGCATGTTATTAACTGTACATCCATTTTAAAACATTTTATGTATAATATTTCTTAATATTCCCTCTAATAGAGAAATCTAAAGACCATATTTAGCGCCCAGGGGTCCCAAGTCTCCTGGAAATTGGTAAAAACGCAAGCCAGAATTTCCCAGAAAATAAACCATCTCCTCATGATATTTTCATGTTTTTACAAGTTTTTCCTAGACTTTATTATCAATTGTCTTCCGAAAGTCAGAGCCAATGATTGTGTTAAAGAAAGCTCAATTCAAATTTTACGAAGCTTGGGGTTTTTTGCATTTTCAATAAATTTTAATATGTGGCATGACTCAAAAGTAATCTTATTGTTCAACCGAGGACAATTTACTGTAGGTCCATATAATTAATATCAGAATCAGATGCAGTCACACTGATCTGATGGCAAAGAATAAACCTTTAATCAAAATTCTGATAAATATCTTTTTTGTATTTCAGATGATATCCAACACACATACACAGTAATTCCCAGCCTTGGTATTAAAACTAGGGTTGCCAGACTGGAACCTAATTATTATTAATTTTTTTTAGTACACATCCGTTTTAATGATGAAGCCGTTTGTTTTCTATTAAGGCTAAATATTTACAGTAAACTATGTTGAATATTGAATAGGCATCTCATATGTTAGCCCTGTCATATTTCTGTTTTACATAATAATAATAATAATAATAATAATATAATAAGCTTTATTTCAACACGGAAACTTGGCTCAACTAGCAGTTGTTTTTCTGCAAGGCCGTGTATAAGGCACAAATTTTACAGTATACAAAAATAATAACTACAACACTTTGTAAAATTAAAATTAAATATAGTAGGTAGAACACTAGGTAGAACGATGTACATGTACAGAATGTACTTATATACATCAGGAAGTTTTACAGTGTATGTAAACATTTTGCCAAGCCCAATTATAAATCTGTACTTGAAATTAGCACTATACAAACTGTAATTTCCGTGTCATGCTAGCTACTATAAGTATATTACAGTGTTAGCATGTCAGGTACAGTAGGCCTATTATATAATTCAGATCCAAATTTCATGCACAATTCGAATTATTAACGTAATCCTACTCTTTCATCCTCTGGAACATAAATATATTCACTGCCTGTAATTCAACATGAAAGGCATAATGCAATTGGCATTAGGCCACATTGTGACAACTTAATTTATGATATTCATATCTAATTATTTTTATACTTTGCTGGTACTGTACTGTACTTTCAGCTTAAATTTAAAGTATTGTACATTCATCTTTAAATAATGTGCCTAGTTTAGGTATACTCTCAAGAAAAATGTTTAAATTTGATTTATTGTTATATAGCCTTAGTTGGAATGCCAATTTTACATTATGCACACAATCTTGATATTAAAACTTCTTTAATTATACATAAACTGAACACTTCTCTGGAGTAAATTTTTTGCCTATTTTCTACACTCATGTCAAGACAGTCTAGGCTTTCTGGTCAAAACGGCAATAAACCAAAACGGCAATGTCAAAACGGCAATAACCAAAATGGCAAAAATCCAAAACAGCAACACTTTTTGACCAGAACGGAAATGGACCAAACAGCAATAAATCAAAATGGCAATAAACCAAAATAGTCTATGAAAGTTTCCTTTAAGAATTAAAACATATTTTCAATGTGGCCCTCCATAAAACCAATTATAAACAGTGTTCACGATTAACACGGTAAAACATGAGGCTAAATTGTCAGAAGTAAAACTTTAAAATACAGACAAAATAAGCCTAAAAACAATTTATGTCATAAAAGTTAAAAAAAGCAAAATTATAAACCAATTATAAACATGAAAGTGTACAACAATTAAATACAATCAAAATAAGGCTAAATTGTCATAGAATTAAAAAACGCAAAACAACAACAAACAATAATAATAACAATTAAATAATAATAATAACAATTAAAATAATAATAATAATAATAACATAAAAATTCAATAATAAAAAGACTGGGAGAAACACAATATAAAAGAAGTAAACATTTAAATAAATAAAACTTTCAAATACAGACAAAATGAGGCTCTTTATGTCATAAATGTATAAAAATGCGAAATAATAATAACAATAATAATAATAATGATAATAATAAACACTTTAAAATATAGACAAAATGAAGTATCTAAATAATTCGTCATAGATTTCATAGATGTATAAAAAAAAAAAAAAAAAAAAACCGCGATTAAGCATTAAAACATTCAACTTGTAAAAAAAGCCCATGGCAATATTCAATGTCTGTCGGGACAATTTCAAAACGATTCAGAAAATGATAACCTGCGGTGCGTGCACGGTGCCGCTTGCTATAGTCTTGGCATTGATTTCACTCCTTTGCCGTTTCAGTCTACATGTATGCCTATTACCGTTTTGGTCTGTTGCCGTTTTTGTACTTATCATCGCCGTTTTTTGTCATTGCCGTTTTGGTTATTGCCTGTCTCTTATACACATCTAGATGTGTATAAGAGACAGATTATAAATCTGTACTTGAAATTAGCACTATACAAACTGTAATTTCTGTGTCATGCTAGCTACTGTAAGTATATTACAGTTTTAGCATGTCAGGTACAGTAGGCCTATTATATAATTCAGATCCAAATTTCATGCACAATTCGAATTATTAACATAACTGCCTGTAATTCAACATGAAAGGCATAATGCAATTGGCATTAGGTCACATTGTGACAACTTAATTTATGATATTCATATCTAATTATTTTTATACTTTGCTGGTACTGTACTGTACTTTCAGCTTAAATTTAAAGTATTGTACATTCATCTTTAAATAATGTGCCTAGTTTAGGTATACTCTCAAGAAAAATGTTTAAATTTGATTTATTGTTATATAGCCTTAGTTGGAATGCCAATTTTACATTATGCACACAATCTTGATATTAAAACTTCTTTAATTATACATAAACTGAACACTTCTCTGGAGTAAATTTTTTGCCTATTTTCTACACTCATGTCAAGACAGTCTAGGCTTTCTGGTCAAAACGGCAATAAACCAAAACGGCAATGTCAAAACGGCAATAACCAAAATGGCAAAATCCAAAACAGCAACACTTTTTGACCAGAACGGAAATGGACCAAACAGCAATAAATCAAAATGGCAATAAACCAAAATAGTCTATGAAAGTTTCCTTTAAGAATTAAAACATATTTTCAATGTGGCCCTACATAAAACCAATTATAAACAGTGTTCACGATTAACACGGTAAAACATGAGGCTAAATTGTCAGAAGTAAAACTTTAAAATACAGACAAAATAAGCCTAAAAACAATTTATGTCATAAAAGTTTAAAAAAGCAAAATTATAAACCAATTATAAACATGAAAGTGTACAACAATTAAATACAATCAAAATAAGGCTAAATTGTCATAGAATTAAAAAACGCAAAACAACAAAAAACAATAATAATAACAATTAAATAATAATAATAACAATTAAAATAATAATAATAATAACATAAAAATTCAATAATAAAAAGACTGGGAGAAACACAATATAAAAGCAGTAAACATTTAAATAAATAAAACTTTCAAGTACAGATAAAATGAGGCTCTTTATGTCATAAAAGTATAAAAATGCGAAATAATAATAACAATAATAATAATAATAATGATAATAATAAACACTTTAAAATATAGACAAAATGAAGTACCTAAATAATTCGTCATAGATGTGTAAAAAAAAAAAAAAAAAAACCGCGATTAAGCATTAAAACATTCAAGTGGGAAAAAAAGCCCATGGCAATATTCAATGTCTGTCGGGACAATTTCAAAACGATTCAGAAAATGATAACCTGCGGTGCGTGCACGGTGCCGCTTGCTATAGTCTTGGCATTGATTTCACTCCTTTGCCGTTTCAGTCTACATGTATGCCTATTACCGTTTTGGTCTGTTGCCGTTTTTGTACTTATCATCGCCGTTTTTTGTCATTGCCGTTTTGGTTATTGCCGTTTTGGTCATTGCCGTTTTGGTTTATTGCCGTTTTGACCTGCTACCCAGTCTAGTCTGCAACGTAAGCAAATTGCTTTTAGCTACAGTAATATTAATAATAAATCAAAGATCATTGAACCCACCAAACATAGTGGTTTGGTGGGTCTTACTCTGTTAGTACCTAGGCTAGATAAGCACATTTAGTTAGCCTAGGCCTAGCCTAGTAGTAGTAGGAAAATTTCCTTTCTCTATTATAATGGAAGGAACGGTAGTTAGGCTAGGCCAATCCAAGCCTATATGTATGGCACTATGCCTACACTTATTTACACAAGCTTGGCGATGCCTGTCTCCACTCTGCCCTCCACCCTCTATCTAGTGGCCTAGGAATGCCTAGGCTAACCCTAGAGAGGGCTGGCCTAGCTAGCCTAGGGCCTAGGCTACGGCCTATTCTACTACACTAGACCTAGGCCTACTACTATAGCTAGGCCTAGGACTAGGTCTATACTAATTACTAAACTTACTGTAAAAAAGAGGCCAAGCACAGTCAGAAATAACTTAGCAGAAGCTGTGCAAAATCCCATGGTTATGTTTTTTAAAGGAATTAAACGTCTGAAGCCTAAAAGATTACAAACAACACGTCCTTTTATTTTACTATTTAGTATAAATAACGACTGATGACTGATGGTCATGTATTTTATTTACACAACCTTCCTTGTGACCGATTACGTCATTAATATAAAGTGGATTAGTCAACAATATTCTTCTAAATAATTAATAATTTTGCGGTATCCCACATACAATATTACAAGTCTTAATTTGCAAACAGATTCTCTTGTTAATATCAATAAGTCAATAATGTTGTTTATAGTCCTACGTCAATCCTTATATAAATTAGAAAATGTATTAAAACACCCGTCGTCCTGTCTTTCCCTGTGGTATGGACCTGGTAATGCATGTCCGCACACTGGATGCCAGTCAATTCGAGCGGATGTCAATTCGAGCGGATGTCAGTTCGAGCGGATGCCAGTTCGAGCGGATGCATTTAGTGCGAACTATATGAAGGGTGAATTTATCGTCGCCCTATTCTTGTATTTGTTTTAAATGCAAAAAATGCTCTTATTACTAAGGTTCTAAAAAGTGTTTTTTTGGTACTTTTTGATAATTACTCCATGTTTGAATTACAGTCTTTGCAAATCCGACTACCAAGATGGCCTCTAACAAGTTAAAACTATATTATAGAATTGCGCACTTTTCAGCTTAAAAAAGAAAGTGTATGTTTTACTAGAGTGCACGAGAAGCACACACACAAGACGAGTGACCATTGTTTTTTTTCACAGTAAACAAATAGCCACCCTATTCACCACCCCCTAGATCCGCCACTGATTGGGGTTTTGTATTTTAAAAAAGCAAACTATATTTGTAATTGAATTATACAATTTTGTAATTGCATTTGTAGATTGACGATTTAGGCCTATATTTGTAACTTGGGAGCAACTTTAATTTTGTAATTTTTAATCACCATAGGAATTAAAATTATTTTTACGTATGTAGGTGTGTCAGAAGGTGCACAAATGAATGGTGGAGTAGTGTGAGACAGGGCGGTTTTGCCACTATTTTAAAAATGTCAATGCATATTAAATTTATGTGCTACTCATTTATCTATTCTGGAACTGTTGTGTGCCCCCTCCCCCTTTGAAAAATTATGGATCCGCCCCCGTGACAAGCATCAACAGTACAGTAATAATGACATCATACCAATTTTCTTCTAAAGTTCAAAACCCACTGTTTTTTTAAACATGTGGAAAGGATAAAATTGACTAAGTATAATTTAAGATATATCATTATTTTTATGAATGTGGGTATGTTTGTTTGTTTATTTATTTATTTACACTAAGATAGAGATGGCAGGCTATAAAGGAAATTCCTATTCCCAATAACATTCACTTACCATATACATTCAGAACAAATTGAACTTTATTATTTGTTAACCTAAAAATCCATTAAATACGAC